AATCTTCAGTTATATTCCCACTTACCCTATATATGGTCACCATCTTCAATGTTTATATTTACAACTATTTTACGTTTTCTTCATCTTGCGTCAAGCCACGCAATAGTAAAGCTAGCTAGATTGAATTACAGCACAAGAGATAAAAAATAAATGAAAAGGCAGTCCACAATGATCCTGCGACAAGAGATGTATCTGTTGCACAGCATTGTTATCTATTCGTATTTATAGTAGATAAGATCAAACAATCTGAAACTTACAGTAGGCAGGCAAGCAGGTAGGCAGACATCTGGATGGGAATGTTTGAATGCGGTATTATCCCGAACCTGGGGTCAGTGAAGTTTGTCGCAATGACCATTTAGCACAATATTATACGTCATATTTACCCATAGAAGTACATGGTATCATGGCTGGGTCAAATGTGTAAGTTTCAGCCTGCGACAAGTCAAAGCCAGTGACCTCTGCTGGTATTGGAAATGGGGAACTGCGTAGATAAAAATGGAATTGAACCGAGATGTAGAAACTAGTGCCGCTATCCAAGCGAAACGCTTCAAGTTATTGTAGTTTAACTAGACTCAAATTTGATAGGTATTTATCTTTTTTTCCACCGTCCTCAGAGAATGATGCGGATCGCTGACAAGGATAGTAACCATGAAAGGATGACCAGAGCCCAGAAAATACCTAAGGTACCGAATACTAATAAGGTACTACATACAGGTAGACAGCACAGACCACCGAAAGGAGAACAGAATGGAAAAGGATGATCCTGCCTAGCTAATCAGGCAGCAACCGCGGTCCAGCTCAACGACGCGCCAATGCCAACCACTTTGATCGCGGTCTGGATTCCAACTCGACGCGTCAAATCGCACCAAAGTAACACACAACACCTGCAGATCGCATACTTTGTCAAGTCTGCACAGTCTCTTGCAGCACAATCATCTTGACTTCTCGCATGTCGCGCAGGAGCGCCCGCGCAGTCAAACATGTATATCAAGCAAATCATTATCCAGGGCTTTAAAAGGTACGTGGGTTAGCATTGTTGCGGCCCTCACATTCACCCCCTACCGTTCATTGCTAATGCTGCCATAGCTACAAGGACCAGACTGTAATCGAACCATTCTCCCCAAAGACCAATGTGATCGTCGGTCGCAATGGCTCCGGAAAAAGTAACTTCTTCGCAGCCATTCGCTTTGTTCTGAGCGATGCGTATACGCAAATGAGCCGCGAAGAGCGGCAAGGTCTTCTCCACGAGGGCTCAGGCTCTGCCGTTATGTCGGCCTACGTGGAGATCATCTTTGACAACAGCGACGACCGATTTCCGACCGGCAACAAAGATGTCATCCTGCGCCGCACAATCGGCTTGAAGAAAGATGAATATTCCGTCGATCGAAAGGTTGTCACAAAAGCCGATGTCATGAATCTGCTCGAAGCGGCCGGATTTTCGCGATCAAACCCCTACTACATCGTGCCTCAGGGACGAGTCACCGCCTTGACCAACATGAAAGAGTCCGACAGGCTCAACTTATTAAAAGAGGTAGCGGGAACACAGGTGTACGAAACGCGTCGCGCGGAGTCGCTCAAGATTATGAACGAGACAAACAACAAGAGAGAAAAGATCGACGAACTGCTGGAGTACATCAAGGAAAGGCTTAGCGAGCTCGAGGAAGAAAAGGAAGAACTCAGAGGGTTCCAGGACAAGGACAGAGAGAGACGGTGCCTCGAATACGCCTACTACCACAACATACAGCTCGGGATTCAAGCAAACCTGGACGACCTTGATAACGCTCGGCAAGACGGAATCGATAGTTCTGATACCAACCGAGCAGAGTACACTGAGGGCGAGAAGGCGATATCAAAACTCGATTCAGAAATACACAAGCTGCAGAGAGAAATGGAGCTTCTGCAGATCGAAAGGCGACAACACGAGGAAGATCGGCGCGACGGCGCGAAAACCATGGCCAAGGCCGAGATGAAGGTCAAGAACTTGAGAGAAGGCCAATCTGCACAGGAACAAGCCCGAGCACAACATGCTGCTGAACTTGAGTCCGTGCAGAATGAGATCGCATCCAAGGAACAGCAGCTTTCAGCCATCAACCCGGCTTATAACCAAAAAAAGCAGGAGGAGGACGAAATCCGAAGACAACTGGATCACGCCGAAGCCACACGTAACCGCTTGTTTGCCAAACAGAGCCGTGGTTCTCAGTTCAGAAATAAGTCTGAGCGTGATGCATGGTTGCGGAAAGAGATACATGAACTTGAACTTAACATAAGCACTCAAAAAGCCAACAAAATTGATGCAGATGAAGAAGTAGAAAGGGTCCGCGAATCGATAGCACAGGCAGAGCAAGACGTTGCTGATTTGCGGAATCGCTTGGCCAATTTCAGTGGCGAGAAAACAGCCCTTGAAGAGGAGGTTGGCAAGGCCCGCGACATCATAGACAAGCTCAACGATGAACGAAAGCTTGTTCGTCGCGAGGATGACAAACTCAACTCAGTCATAGCCAATGCTCGGCAGGAGAAGGAGACAGCTGAACGTGAGTTGGCTCACGCAATGGATGGATCGACTGCACGTGGTCTGGCGACGATCCGACGATTGAAGCAAGAGCGAGATATCCCCGGAGCATATGGGACATTGGCGGAACTGCTTGAAGTTAGTGATGCTTACAGACTTCCCGTTGAGCAGATTGCCGGCGCAAGTCTGTTCCACTATGTCGTTAACAACGCAGATACAGCCACCTATCTCGCAGACACCCTTTACAAACAACAGGGAGGCCGAGTGACATTTATGCCTCTCGCCCAACTACGCCCCCGGCAAATTAAGCTTCCCAGGTCTAATGATGCCGTACCTCTCTTAAGCAAGATCAACTATAATGAAGAGTACGAGAAGGCTTTCCAGCAGGTCTTTGGAAAAGCTGTCGTATGTCCGAACCTTACAGTAGCAAGCCAATATGCAAGAAGCCATGGCGTCGACGGCATCACTCCTGAAGGTGACACAACCAATAAGAGGGGTGCTATGACTGGTGGATATATCGACCCTCGAAAGTCGCGCCTACACGCGGTGCAAGCCGTGAATAAATGGAGGGATGAATACGAAAGGTTGTTAGCGCAGTCTCGTGATATCCGAAGACAGACAGAACTCAAGGACCAAGAGATCACAGCTGCTATGTCAGACCTACAAAAGGCCAAGGAAAGACTACGACAGGCTGTCGACGGGTTTGAACCACTGAAGCATGAACTGATCAATAAGTCAAAGCATCTGGAGAAAGAGCTGAGCCACCTCGATGCAGCCATCAAACGTCGAGATGCAGTCGAGAAGAACATGAACAGTTTCTTGGAGGATCTTGCTGCACACGAGGCCGAACTCCGATCCGACTTCAAGAAAACCCTAACCGCCGCTGAAGAACGTCAGCTGGAAGAACTTGGAACAAGCACCCAGGAGCTCCAAAAGCAGTGGAATGAGATCAGCCGAGCCCGGCGTGATCTGGAAAGGCAGAAGCAACTTCTTGAAGTGGACCTTCGCCAAAACCTGCAGATGAAGCTTGATCAACTCAATAGCCAGGCTTTTGAAGACTCGACTGGATCCACGGGTGGTGGGTTAAAAGATGCCCAAAGGGAACTCAAGAAAGCGCAAAAAGCACAGAAAGCCATTGAGGCAAGCCTCCAGGAACTTGAAACCAAAATGGATAATACACAAGCGCGGCTCGAGGAACTGGCAAATGAGAGGGCCCAACTAGAGCAAGCGCAGAGTGAGATATCCGCGAGGATCGAGAGACAGCAGAAGAAGATGGACAGGAGTCTTCGAAAGAAAGCCGTTTTGACAACACAAGCAGCCGAATGTGCTCAGACTATTCGTGACCTAGGTGTGCTTCCAGAAGAAGCTTTTGACAAGTATGAAAACATGGACCCCAATCAAGTAAGTTTTCCCCTGTTCCGACCCAATGAGAAGTGACTAATGTGTCGCCAGGTCTCAACCAAGATCAAGAAGGTGAATGAAGCACTGAAGAAATACAAGCACGTGAACAAGAAAGCCTTTGAACAGTACAACAACTTCACAACTCAACAAGATCAGCTTATGAAACGACGTAAAGAGTTGGATGACTCTCAGGAGTCGATTGAGGTACTCGTTGAGCATCTTGACCGCCGAAAAGACGAGGCAATTGAGCGGACGTTTAAACAAGTTTCCAAGGAATTCACAACTATCTTTGGCAAGTTGGTTCCTGCTGGTCATGGTCGTTTGCTCATTCAACGACGGGCGGATCGTCGTCAAGAGCCCGTCGACGAATCAGACGGAGAGGCACGCGGTGTTGAAAACTACACTGGTGTTGGGATCAGTGTTTCATTCAACTCAAAACACCTCGATGAGCAGCAGAAGATCCAGCAACTCAGCGGTGGTCAGAAGAGTAAGTCATATTGCTCCCTTGCCGTGTCCAGCTACTAATATGAGCAGGTTTATGTGCCCTTTGCCTTATATTCGCCCTCCAGGCTACTGAGAGCAGTCCTATGGTAATTTTTGACGAGGTGGATGCCAATCTGGATGCCCAATATCGTACAGCTGTTGCGGCCCTCCTTGAGTCCATTTCCAAGGAAATTGGTACTCAGTTCATTTGCACCACATTCCGACCTGAGATTGTGCATGTCGCTGACAGATGTTATGGTGTGACGTTCCGTAACAAGACCAGTTCAATCGACTGTGTCAGCACGGAGCAGGCTCTTGAGTTTGTAGAGGGTCAAGCGAAGCCTACTTGAGTGGATACAAATGGGGGACTGTAATCAAAGGGCTTATATGTAAGACTATACCTGGGGGACGATGGACTGGCGTTGGGCGGCTTAAGATTTATTCCTTATGCGATTACGATGAAGTTGAGACTCTCGGCTGTTATTCTTAGGAGGAACAAAATTAGGCGTGAACCTTTTACCAATCCCGGCGAGACGACTAAGTTTCTTGACTCCCAAAATACCCATATGAACATTTTCAGTCATTGCATGAATATGATGGATTTTTCTTTGACCTACTTGATATGGTGCTTTTAGCTTGATACGAGATCATCTCAGCTGAGGGCAAACGTGCAGATTAAACCCAAGTGACATGCTTTGACGTCTTGATTCTTGTGTACAGCAAGTATACATGATAATTATACACGCAGCAACGGCACTGCCAATTCTAACCCAACCTCTATAGCTACCGATCAGTCATCATGTTTCGTACGCCCTTCCAGTAGTCCTTTGGCAACTCCTTTTCCAGCTCCTCACGAGTCAGCCACTTGAACTCGGTGTAGCCAAAGGGGTTATCCTTAAGATCAGCCTGACCAGCCATTATCCTGCCCTTGATGAAGAATGTCTTTTCACCCTTCTTCTGGACGACGCCGTCGGCAGTGATTTTGGGTCGTGAGACGACATGGGCGACTGGCACGCGGCTGACAATCCATGTGTTCATATTGACACCAGCGGCCTGGTCGAGGACTCGCTTGGCGGACTATTGAAAGATTTAGTACTATCCAAGAACCCGGTCCGAACATATCTTACCTCATGAAGATTTTCATCCTTAGGAATCACATCAGCGGGGAAACCCCAACCGTCCTTACCCTTGACCACAAGATACAGGGTTCGATCGAGTTGACGATCCAGTCTTTGAACATCACCCTTGTGATCTGCCTCAGTCACACGATCCGCAGGAGGTTCAACGGGGACAACATCCTCAGGAGCGATAACCTCAGCATCATCACTGACACGCGCCTCAGCGTCCTTGAGCAAGGCCTTGACAATAGTCTCCTGGTTGCTAAGCTCATCGCCAACCTTAAGTTCGTCATCCCACGCCTTGGAACTCTTTCCATTGTAGACACCCAGCTCCTTGGCCACTGTGCCCTTGCGCTCCTGGACCTTGATGTTCCAGTCTAGACGGCGAGCCGTATCAGGCTTGAAGTAAATACTCGTGATAAAAGGGGTGTTGAGACGTTCTTCGAGACGCTTCTGGTAAAAGAAGAAAGCATTCTCAAAAGGATGGAGTTTCCGTGTCACTAGAGGTGGTCGTGTGAGAATTACACCAGAGCGAACGTCGTAGGGCGGCGGAGAGCGAGCGGGTGCAGGAGTAGAGGGATCGGTGGGGGTTTTCGCTACGGCGGCGGCGAGAGATGAGTAGAGCCGTCCTGGGTATCTAGATACAGCAGAAGAGGAAGCGCATCGTGCGCACAGATTAGGAGAAGCTGAGATGTTCTCTGTTAGTTATGAGTCTTGGAGTGGGTTTTGAGGTGATCAATTGTTGGGCATAAAGAGCAGCACAGATTAGGGAATTGTATGGACTCACTAGATAGCACAGCCTGAGCGGCTTTCGAACCCCTGCTTGAAGCTGTCATGCTGTCTATCTTCGCTCCGTGGGTTGTGGCTCCCGACGTTGCGACTAGGTGATCGAAGCTGGACGGTGATATTCAACAGCGACTTCACGAACTTTTCCCGCCTGGATCTGAATGGTACGTACCACGGAGCGACAGGCCCGAGCCCAGTGGAGGGCCCCAACGTCCATGAATTTTTTCCGCCTGAGGCAGCCAGACATTTATCAGTGAAATAAATTTCCTAGGCTCTCTCTTCTCTTCTTCTTTTCTTTTCCTCTCAAGGCACCATTTCCTTATCGTCAAGACCTGTTTCCACCTCCAGAACGTCTCGATCATTTACGTGTGCCGAGAAGAATTCCGCAGTCTTTTTCGCTAGCGGGGCCTGCAAGAAATTTTCTTTATCCTACCGGGTTCTGTTAGATAGATACTGCTGACATGAAATGTCATATCAAGATGGTTTAATATGGATGCGTATTGATTAGACAACCGCTCCCGTGTTCAACGGACTCGTGTCACGTTATGCTTGTATCTATGCCTTACTGGAAACAAACGCCCTATGTGCAGTAAAACCTGGATTGGAGCTGATCACTTGGTCAGCCAAAGGCGACCATTCTCATTGATATTGACCGAACAACAACACAGTTGGCATGCGCCAATGAGAAGGTCATATTAGAACATGAGACTACCTAGTGACATAAGAGCCATATACAAACATGACCCAAACTTACGATATCTGTACACATATCGACCTTCGCGTTGAAACCCGAACTCAACTCCGTTGTGACACCACGCTATCAAAATGCAAAGAATCATGCTCGCCTTTCAAAAGATGCTGGGTATCAAACCACATGGATCCCCTGGATGATGCCTGAACGCCTGCTTAATTGTTTCCCGCCTTGATTCATTCTATCATTAAGCTAAGCAGACAATTCTGCAACTGCTTGAGCAACCTCCATGGTTGCTCTGTTTTCCCATTGCCGACGGGCCTCATCGCTCAACGATGCCGCGCCTTTCACCTCGTCATAAAGCTTTCTTGAAATGTCTCTGTTGATAACCGAGTATTGCTCCGTTGTTAGTTTTCTAGACCGCCAATGTGGTCGTAATGCACCCTTGACAATTTCATTTATGCTGATCTTATCTTCCTGGGTGATGTTGGAGTCTGTTGACGGTTGTTCCTCTTTTTGAGCTGGTACCTCAGATGGGCGGCGTGGCCGTGGTTGTCGTAGTTCCAACGGCCGGCTCTCTGGGAGCTTCGTTGAGCGTGTCTCCGAATCGGGATGGTCATTGCTTGTATGATTTGGGGAATAGTTTGCATTGGGTCTGATTGGACGTGTCTCCGAGTCGCTGTGGTCACGATTTGAACGAGTAGGCGAATAATTCGCGGGGGCGTAACGAGGTTGAATAGTACTGCTGAGCGAGAGTGTTGGTGAAGTTGGTCGGCCGTTGAAGTTTGGCATAGGAGGAGGGGTAAGAGAAAGAGCCCGGGGGCTACTGTAAGTTGATGGGGATGGAGATATCGCCGGTGAGAGGGCTGGGGATGAGGCCTCTGGTGCATGCCGCCACCCATTGGTAGTCATGGTTTCGTCCTCAGACATGATACTAGGCTCAAGTTCTTTCAGTAGCGACGAAACCAAGGGAGGGTCGATACTACTATGGTCGACGATACCGTTTCTGGATGACGATCCATTGGGGGCAGCTCTGGTTGATGAGGGCCCAGCTGGCGCAGGAGAAGATACGGAGCTTGAACCTTCACCATTTTGGGTGGGCAAGCGACGTGTTCGGGGCCGCTTGAGCTTCCTTTCAGGTTCTTGAACAGGTTCGCGAGGAGACGCAGTCACAGACCGTGCTTTGCGCTTGCGAGAAGTGGTGCTGGGTTCCTCTGTTTCGCGAGCGCGTTCCAAAGCACCCCAAGCTCGTCTTTCGTCAGCCGTTTCTTGTACTGGCTCTGGTGCGGACTGAAGCCGTTCGCTGATAGCAGAAGGTATGTTGTTTATAAATACATCACGAGCGCCCAGACGGCGGGCAATGTCCATCCTTTGCTGCCAACGTTCGAGTTCGCGTCGCCCGAGTTCCTGGAATCTCCTGTATTGCTCTAGTTCCTCATCTTCATCATCGTGATTGTCCAAATCCAAGTCGCTCATCTCGTAGAATCGCCCAGAGAACTGGCCCCAGGCGCCTTGCCACTCAACATTTCGAGCTTGTCGCCGGGCTCGCCTTAATCGTTCTCGAGTTCGTACATGGTAACCACGAACGTTTCGGGGGTTAGGACGCCGCACGTATGGAGGACGAGGAGATTGTTCACCAGATTCAGCGGTCCTTGGCTCTTCCACAAGTTGAAAAAGGTGAGAGCACTCCATACAATACCAGTCACCGTCCGGAATGGCTTCGAGACCTATACAATGTGTGTGGTAGGCCGCGTCGCAGCTATCGCACAGGAGAAGAACATCCTCTCTCTCTGAAGAGTTGCAAATAGGACATGGGTTGCCTTGTTCCTCTTCTTCTTCGTCTTCGGGGTTTTCGCCAAGCCACTGTCTTACATCGAATTCAGCAACCTGTTTTTTATCTTGGACATCGTATTTCGAAATGGCGGTTCCTGAGAAAAGAAAGTGTTAGCGGATGAACACACGTGAAGTCAGAGGATAAGCTTCCAACGTACCATCGACCCCGTTGTATACTCGAACTGAATGGAAGGGATTACGACAAATTGGACATGTGTTTGTCTTTTGCGCCCAGGAACGAATGCACGCATCATGAATAATGTGATTACATCCGTCAAGTGACGCAACTATGTTCAGATGATTGGAGTCATTCTCAAGAACATCCGAGGCTGTAGAGGTTGTGGCAGGAACAGGCGCGGACTCGGGTGCGGGTGCGGATGCGGGCTCGCCGCCAGAAACACCACCAGCAGCATCACTCGCAGCTGCAGTGAGGGCAGCTGGAGCTTGGAGGGCAGCCGAGGGTCGGGGCAGAGGATCCAGGCATATGATGCACTGTTCCGCTTCAGACATGATGTCGAAATTGATAACACAGATCGTATCTTGATGAAAACATGTAAAATAAGATCGAGTGAAATAAAGTCGAGGCGAGCGGTCGATTCGAGCAGGCGGTGATGATGGTAAAAGGGAATGATCGATTAGGCGGGATGGCTCGTTTTGGGGGGGGCAAAGTACCGTAACTTAGCAGGCTGGCTTAGGTTGACACCCGAATGGTGATGCATTAGTGGACAGGAGCCCTGCAGGCAAAGGCAAAGGAAAATAAGAGGAAGAGTTCCAGCTCCAGTGGAATGGATGTTTTCAAGGAGCCTGGTAGGGACGTGATCGGGGCCAATGAGCGCTCTTCCGTCCTGGATCAGCGCCACGCCTGGAAGAAATAAATGTTAGATTATGTGCCTGCAGAGCAAAACAAATGCACGGTGGGGAGAGACCCTGATGACGGATGACTCTTGGTCGCGTCAGGCTTGATTACCTAGAGGGAATCCAATGTATAGTAGGCAAGGAGGTAGGTTAGTATTTTGAACACAGGCGCCTTAGGACGTATAAGGTACCTAGGCAAGTAGGTAATTCTCAATACCTTCTGTGTCCTTTCTATACTATTCGTACGCTGTGTGGAATATCACCGTGACTTCTGCACTTCGACTTCCCCTCATCTGTTTTCTGAGCCCCGGACTTCAGAGCTCAAATGGCGTCTTTTTTTTGTTACAAGCTGGCGCGACTGACTGTGAGTGCAGGGTCCTAAGTTAGCTCTATTTACAGTGAGTGGACAGGGGTAGGATGCACAAGACCGTAGTCGGTCAGCTCTTTACCAGACAGATTATTTTAATAACTCAACATTGAAAGAGGTATCTCATGAATAGCAAAGAAAGAAAGAAGTGTAGGTATTTTAACTGTATGCAAGTATAGTCACTAAGGTAAACTGTGTTGAATTCGGCTTGAGGGTGAATTTCAACACCTGCCAAGACACAACGGAGCTTGACTGTATACAAATAGCGTAATAAAAGAACTGAAATATATCAACTGATATGGAAGCTGAATCCCGTGGAAAGAACGAATCTCAGGAACGAGTCAATATATCCGACGTAAACTTATCAAAGGAGAATTCGACTCAGAGTAGTGCTTCAAACCAAGGAGACTGGCGAGTGACTGCACAACAACGCAACATCTTTAGTGAATAAAAATTACCCCTAGACACTGTCTAGGGTGGTAGTATCTTGAGTGACATTTGAATGATCAAAACTGGTGCGGCAGGCACCCAAATTTAATGTAATACAGAAACCTAGAAAGATATGATGAAAACTTGCCCTGGCCCATGCTCTCGAGTCCCATCCCACAGACCAGACTGACGACCAGATCTCGGAATAAGACACTGTCCGTGTTCAGTATGGCTTTCACTTATCACACTGACCTCCACAACAAGTTTTGCTTAGCTGCTTCGACAAAGTCCCAGTGTATCAGCCGGAGGTGTTCACCGCTGAAAACCGGATGAATCATATCTCTGCCCCAACATGTGTCTCTTGTAAGTTATGTCTTTTCAAGAGTTTAGAAGTTTAGACTATAGATAACGATGGGTTCCCATCAAGGTTGTATTATGGGGTTTAGGAGACTTCGAACAGTTAGGCTAATCCGAGGCGGGAAGAGATATCGCGGCTCAGGCACCTCGAGATGGAATCGGATGAGGCATGAATGTTGTCGAATCGGCTCTACTTGAAGAAGAATATTCTACAACACTTGTGAGCCCCACTGTAAGTAGCCGAGAGTGACGGAGGACTTGCTACGGCGCAAGATACGATCCTGATATGGAGCTCATGACGTAGACATTTGGGGGCTGGTCAAGAAGAATGCTAGCATATTGGCATAGGGACTGTTCCATATAGACCTTGGTCCAGTTTCTGGTCGATGGGTAGACTCTTGCGATGGCTGAAAGATAACCTCAAAAAGTCTGTTAATTTTGTACTTGCACGAGAATGGTGAGTTGTTGAATGGGTCCGAAGCCTGCAATTCTTTTTTTGTTCATTGCTAATCGATCGGCTTCTATGTGATCGAAGATCGGGTGTCGACGTCCAGATCGTCAACTCGTAGTGTAGGCACGAAATCCATATCCCCCGTACACCATACCGAAAAGCAAAGCCGTTTTCTCCTTCCGCTAGAGTCCATCCTTAAACCTCAGCAATCTCTCGGAGACGTCGCAGAGTCGATCGCATGGCGGCGGCAGCAGGAGTGCTGTTCATGGTTAGTGGTCCATCGTTATATGTATCATTTGATAGAGTTGGGAGAACGCACGCAACGGTGTAAGCACCACCAGCAACGGTGCGCTTGCAAGACTTGCAGTCCCAGATGCCGGTAGCCTGTCGCTTGACGGTGACCTTTCCGCAGAAAGTGCAGGTGTACTTGGCGTGCTGGGTGATTTCCATCTTCTTGACCTGCTTTCGCAGGGAAGCACCGTAACTAAAAACCAAAATGTTAGTTTTCGATGGCACCAGTCTACCCAGTCGTTACATATTCATTCTCCCCTCATGCCTCGTGCTGCCCTTGGCCTACTCGTGGCACTCCCCATTTGCATCTGTGGCCTAGCTTGTGTGAATCCTAGTCCACCGCTTGCCTTTGAAACAGTTGCCGGTACCAGAAAGAGAGCCGCGGGCAGCAAACAAGTCGTTACGAAATGAGAGCAGAGGGGAATCGTTTTCGATATGCTTCGGATATGGGATTTTCGTCGTGAAACTTACCGGGTACCGTATTTACCGCTGTGAAGTTGTTAGCTATTGTTGCTCTAGTATTAAGCTGAAGGGCAATACATACGTAACACCGACCTTCTTTGTTCGCTTGGTCATCTTGAAGGTTATGTGTCGGACGTCTTGGAAGGAATAAAGACGGCGGAGGTGAATGTTGCTCGACTGTTGGAGGCTGACACCGAAAATGTTGCAGAGGAAAGAACGACTTGTGGTCCTTAGGGCAAGCCCATTCAGGAAGCGAGTGGGTCCCACTTTCTTCAATTTTTTTTTGATGGCCGGAAGAACCCCGGTAAAAGGAGATCCTCAATCTTATAAGCTCACGTACCTCGATTCAGAGAGACTGGAGATGTTATTCGAACATGACTCATGCTCTCATTGATTTGCAATAGGTAGACGTCTCGTAAGGTACCTCCATGGTTGCCAATATTCGAGGTGGAAAGAAACTTTCGATAAATTGCTCGTCGATTTAGTTTTAATAACGTATTTTTTTATTAAAGGAGTGAAGCTCTCTTGATACACTTCCTCGGTCAAGTTCAAATTCCATCACGTCGACTTAGCCCATGTGAAGGCATCATCAAATCCCATTCGTTCAGTTAACCAAGGTTGTTGAGTACCCTTATCGAGATAAGATCCTCATGTCAGGGGCGGAGCGAACGCTCTGAGCACTTACAAGGGTGCCTGGCCACTACCGCCCAACTGATCGTCCCTCGGCATCATGATACCAAAGACAGCAACCCCAACTTGACCGTCTCGAACGCAGTCCTACCTCTTCTTTATCGACTGCCACACTGACTATAGAAACTCTTTGTGTTTGCCGACTTAATTGACCCTAATATTAAATATTTCCAAATCAATTGTCGATTGAAAATGCCTTTTATTAAGGATCATGACCGTCAATACGACATCGTTGTCCTTGGGGCCACTGGTAAGTTCTTACTTCCAATTGAGCCTTTAAGCAAGACTCTGGCCGAATTCTGACTATATTCAAGGCTACACAGGAAAATTGACGGCTGAATACATCACAATGCACCTTGCAACTGACCTCAAGTGGGCAGTTGCGGGTCGGAACGAGTCGAAGTTAAAGGCTGTTGTTGAAGAGTGTCGGGAGCTCAACCATGATCGACTTCCACCAGGTACCGCCCAACAATATTACTTATTGATCCTGTAGAATCAAGTATAGGCTGATGATTCCACTTAGCCATTGAGGTCGTAAACCTGAACGACGCCGATCTGAGTTTGCTGGCAAAGAAGACGTGTATCATCGTAACCACCGTTGGACCATATAGCCTGTACGGTGAACATGCTTACAAGGCTTGTGCCGAGGCCGGAACTCACTACGTAGATGTCACCGGCGAAGCTGCTTGGGTACATAAGATGATCAAGAAATATGAAGCAACTGCTAAACAGACAGGCGCCATCCTGATTCCACAAGCTGGGATTGAGTCAGCTCCCGCTGATCTCATCACATGGACCATGGCCAAGGCTATTCGTACTGAGTTAGGCTCTCAGACAAGAGATGTGATCGTTTCTCTCCACAAAATCAAGTGAGTACAGTTCATGAACAAGAAGGATTAGTTCAAACAACTGACTATGTCATAGCTCGGCACCATCCGGTGGTACACTCGCCACCGCCTTGAGTATCTGGGATGTCTTCTCGCTTCAGGAGATCAAGGAGGCTAGTAGTCCGTATGCTCAGTCACCTATCCCGCACAAAGAGCCCACGCGGCCCAGGAGCTCCATTCTTCAAATGGTTTTTGGCGTCCGGACCATTCCAAATCTTGGGCTCCAGACCACGTCTGTCACGAATTCAACTGACGTTGCAGTTGTTGAACGTACTTGGGGTCTCCTCTCTAATACGCCATCCCGCAAAGAAGAGTTTTATGGTCCCAATTTCGTTTGGGTAGAGTATATGAAAGCCCGTAACTGGCTCCACGGGATCTTCATTCATTGGCTTCTTATTGTCGGTGGCATCTTGCTGGTATCAGTTGCACCATTGAGGAACTTTCTCAAAAAGCGTGTATACCAGCCTGGGGAAGGTGCCAAACGTGAGGACACGGCCAAAGATGAAATCGAGTATCGTGGCATCGCATATCCTGATTCTGAGAAGGCTGCTGGCAAAGCAGCTCTCTGCCGTATGTGGTATCATGGCGGCATGTACTTCTGTAAGTTTGAAATGTAGAAAGGCCGTGAACTCTTATTGACAATTTCCCCCATAGTGACAGGAATGCTCCTTGCTGAGATCGCCGCAACAATTCTTGAAGACGATATTAAGCTCGATGGCGGATCGTATACACCAGCGTGCCTAGGTCAAGGTTTGGTTGACCGCTTGGACAAGTCTGGATTCAGGACAGATGTCAAGATCATTGATGCTTGAACCCTGATTAGCAAAGTAAAGACAAGACGTTTGCATTTGATAGAGAAGCAATGACGCAACAGAGGTACATCACATTCGCACCGGCGAAGATTATTTGACCCAGAATCAATAAGTGAAATCATGTACTTGACTGACGTTTCATTTCCTAGACAAATATGTTGCCAATCTGCAGTTTCATTTTCTTATGTTGATAGCCCTTTATTTCTATATTACGTAAGCTCGCCTTCTCACCCAAGTATTCAATGTTATTTACTGGCAGAAGCTTCATCATACCGAAATCCTGAGATCCTTTACTTCAAGATAGAATTTTTTTGATAACTCGTCAACTTAGTAGCTTCTATTGACTTTCTTTATAGCTAATATTTACGTCGTCAAAAGGCCAAAAAATCTTCCTTCTTATCACGGTGATGGCAAAAACCTTGAGAACTTGATCTTAACTGACAAAAATATTTAGATAGATATAAATTTTCTTAGGATAACTTGGAATGAACCAAGTGGACTGTTTAACCATTTTCTTCTTCTTCTTCTTCTTTTCTTTGACACTCTTATATACAGTCAGTCTTAATAAGTCCTGACATCCCAAAACTTATCTCAAGGTAGAGTTACAGAGTATGTCTGCAACTTTAAAGTGAAGTGCCAAGCAGCCCCACAAAGAGCTTTCAAGCGAGCATGGTGGATCATTAGGTACCGTATTAGGTTGCTCTTCGCGTCAGGTCGCGGAAGTTTGGCAGACGTCATTAGCACCAGTGGTTAACCCATCAAACCCAGGAAAGTTCTTCACCTCAACACCACAACAGCAATTAATCCTTCGTCGTTCAAACTCGGCCACGGTTTTGGTATCATTTCAATCGATTCCTACGGTCCTTAGAGGAGTGACGCGCAAGACTAGCGTATCACTTGCGACCTGAAAGATTCGAATCGACTTATCTTTGTGACTCCATCACTTCAACCTTCGCTGGCTTAAACCGAAATGGATCCCCATACTACATCATCAGACGCTGCACCTAATGAGTCGTCGCCATTACTCCCTACCACAGAGAACCGACCCAAAGGAACACGATCAGTTACTTTCAGCGACAACCCTGTTACAAAAACCTTTGAGCCTACTCGACAACAATCCCAATATCGATCTCCCGGGCATCATGCTATTGGCTCCGTCAGCGGCGCCGCTGGTGGCCCTCCCATGCTCACAGCTCTGAACAACAAGCTCAGGAGACGGAACAGCCAAGGATCGGTACCTGCAGTTGCTAATTTATCTTTTGGACCCAAAATTGGTCCTCAGCGCAGTACGAAAAAGACGGAAAAGCTTAAGCTGCTTCCCAACACCAATCTGGATGACCCTGAAGATGAGGAGAGTGGAAGAGATGTCTATTCTCAGTACACACGTATCAAGGATCCTGCTGCGCGGAGAGATGCAGCGAAACTAGGGAAAGCGGATCGAGATCGTCTGCCGCGTGTCACGGCATATTGCACTGCAAACCGATACGAGATGGAAGCCCTGATGAGATTTCTAAAGGGAAGAGGAAAGACGCGAGGCGCAAACCCCAAGCTAATTGACGAATGCATATATACGCCGTATAATTACACCTCCAAGAACGCGCGCAGTCGCGATCCAGTTCAGAACTATGAACGCCGGCATTCAACTGGAGGTGACGCCATTGATGTCGCGCAACAGAGGAGCGACTTAGCTGACTTACACTCAGAAGAGGCCGGTTCAGAGGCTCATGGCCACAATGGCCACGCCCATAACGATACTAATGGTAACGGTAATGGTTCTCACATTGATAGCGCAGATCTGCTGGGCTCGGTAGTAGAAGACCACGACTCGATAAGCGAGACCAACCCCGATTTTGATACGCAGGTGCATACACCCGAGGTGTTTCTGTTTGATTATGGAGTGGTTGTCATCTGGGGAATGACCGAGGCCCAAGAAGCCCGGTTCCTGAAAGAGATCGCCAAGTTCGAGACGGAAAAGCTTGCTCCAGATGATGTCGAGACGGAGTTGTTCAACTTTTACTACACAAAGGATTACCAGGCTCGTATCTATAACGACTTTATCACCCTCCGCGACAAGAACAACTACATGACGAAATTGGCTATTTCTCATGCATTAGCGCAGAGTGTCAAAGCAAGTCAACTTACCAATATGAGTTGTATCGAGACGATTTGCTAACAGTTTGCAGACCTCACTCTTCGAAGAGCTGATCGCATCAACAGTCGATACATGCAAAGATATTCCTACACAAATAGCCACAACAGGGAAAATCGCACTTCGGCGGTCACAAATCAACATGCAAATTGGAGAGCTATTCATTCTTCGCATCAATATCCACCTCAACGGCTCAGTCCTCGATACACCCGAGCTCTTCTGGGTAGAACCGCAGCTCGAACCCGTGTACCAAGCCGTCCGGAGTTATTTAGAGATGGATCAGCGTGTTGGACTTCTGACAGAACGTCTCGATGTCATAGCAGATTTGTTGGCTGTACTAAAAGGAGAGCTCAGTCACGGCCATGATGAGAAGCTTGAATGGATCGGTATGCCATGCGCCGCCCTATGACAAATACAGTATGCTAACCACTTCCTTGCCAGTAATTGTTCTTATTGCGGCCGAAATACTTGTTGCAGCTGTCAATATTGTGGTAGACTTATACGTTGGCGAATAAGTTTTTGGTCACCCATGGTACCTCACCCCCCTTTGTGTAAGGTGAAGAAAGAAGGAGAAGAAGAAATAACAAATTTAGCTAGCGGAGTTTGATCTTGTCAGTTTAATCTTGTTACAGTTTGGTATAAAACTCAGAAACCAGGCGAAAACCAAGGACCAGGAGTATAGGTGTAAAACTTGCAGCTGTTAGATAGATGACTTCGCGGCAAGCTTCAAATCGATGCGCGCGAAGAAATTGCGTTTCTTAATCTATGTGAAACCTTCTCAGAATTTGGTTCTTTGTTGTGAATAAACATATAATTACTAGTACATGGGTCGATATCATGACATGCGAAATCGTATACCCGCCAAAACGCCCCCCGGAGACATTTAATGGATGTCCTCATTCCTCTACCTTCTCGCCGGCCTGTGTGTCTTGATCCTCGGTGTCATCCCCCATCTCAATGTCCTCGTCCTGAACGAGAGGCTTTGATTCAGCAGGCTTATCATCCTTCTTGTCAGATGCAGGACTTTTCTTCGATTCATCGCTCTTGGCCATTGCAAGTTCGAATTTTGCCTCGTATTCATCCTTCTCGCCATCAGAGAGACCCTTCCAGACACGAGCAAGCTCATCCTCAATGTTCACAGGGATATCGTTGTCCTTTTCCTTGCTCTCGAGACCAGGTCGTGTTTCTAAGCAAAACAGCTCGAATGCACTGGTGGGCTTTTTGATATCGCTCGCAGAAATACCGTTGGCATGGGCCGGCTTGGGTTGGCTTTCTGGGGGGTGTGAGAAGGTTTCGGAGGTCGGGGAGCCGGCGGTGTTGGTAAAAGATGCAGCGACTGGTGCCTTCGAGTCGGCATCAGGCATCATCGACTTTCGGTGCCCTCGCTTCGTACGCAAAGGCTTATCTTTGGGCTTCTGGTGGTTAGCTAACTCACTTGGTATGGTGAATTGGTAGTCCTAATCCAGGCGCAAAAGCATCAACATTGAACCGGGCGCCGTAAGTAGTAGAGGCGCGGCAGGCCGGTAGAGGATTGCCAGGCAAAGGGAGAAGAGAGGTGGGAAGAAAATAATAGCATACCGTAGGGGGTGGGCTTGGGCTGCCGTCTGAGTCCTCAACGTTTGCGCTTGTGCGCTTCGCGAGTTGTTCGAGTAGGAACGCGCGCTCTATCCGCAACTTTTCGACCTGGCGCTTGATACGAGCAAGACGAAGTCGGGCGGCATCATTGGCGTCTTCAACCTCATTGGTGCGGTTCTTGAGTTGAACACATTTTCGACGATAGGCCTCCTCCACAGAAGGAGGGAGTGTAGAAGGAATTGCTGGAGTGCGAGGAGGCGGGTCAGCTTCTGATGCTTTGCGCTTGAGTGTTATAGGCATGCTGGGCGTTCGATGTGGAGGCGAGGGTGATGATGAGAGAGCCGTGAAAACAATACAAGAACTGCGCGACAAGGAGAAGAGTGGGTGTTTGTGAAGCGCAGGGCAAATGAGGATCGTGTGGTTGATGGCGCAAGGGATGTGCCTCAGCCTTAACTTGACCCGTTGGTTTGAAGGTTGGAGCAAACCAACAGAACCCACCACGAGCGATTCGTTGACAGTGAGTGATTCTTTGATGGGCGAATGACTTACCGGGCATGGTTGGCTGGCTAGCTAGGTAGGTACGAATCACAGCTAATGATATTGCCTCTACGATATGTTTCTGGGGGGGAAAACTCGATTATGAGACAAGAAAAGATAATTGCGACGTCGACTGTCGAAGTTAGCTGTGAGTTTGGGAGTAATTGCTTGACGCGTGACGATTCACTTGTTAAGCTCACTTAATCACTGATGGGCCGTGTCCACTTGAATCTGTTGTAATTGATGAACGCTGAAATCGATTTGCAGCAAGGCAGAAAAGAGACTTCGTCACCAAGGCGATAGAAGCTACCTATGGCGCTGGTCGTGGGTATCAGTATAAGAAGGTGTTAAAAGTGTGTCAATCAGCCATCACGAGTCGCACAACAGGACGGTGTCAGTCTGTTCCGTCGCCAAAGCTTCGCGGGTCGTGTCGTTAGCCACAACGGCATGCAAGGCTGGAAGACTCCTTCAGGGGCTGTGGCGTAGACCACCTCTGATTGGACAGCTGGGCCCTTGAACCTGCCCCTCAGACTGAGGCTCTTGTAAAAGGCACCTAAGTAAGGTTAGTAGTCCCTTGGGTAGCTGATGCGGGATCCTCGAAACTATTAATATAAGTGATTTTTGTTTACTGTCAGAAACCCTCAGACTCACCACCCAATCACTCACCATTTACTGTATTCATCCTTGTTCGGTAGAGTACCACAGGAGCGAGCTCTAAGCGGTGCAGGCAGCCGGGTACGTACCTACACCTGCCTACCCACTAAATCGCCCCGTGGAAGTTTTTCTGACTTGGGGTGGTGGGACACTGAAGCTAGTGGGCGAAATCTATCCATCACCAGGAGCATCATCTCAACTTTCAAATCAGACACATACTTGACGACATATCTGATACAGCCACAACCAACAACGTCGCCTCCTGAGCGCTGTGGTCGTCAAAAATGTCGCTCAATATTCCCAACGCCCCTAACGCGGGCTTGTTCAAGCAAGGTTATAACAAGTGAGTTGCTCCCCTCCTTGTGTTGGTAGCTCCCCGCCTCTTTACTTGTCTCCTTACACATGCCACTTTCATGATCACGACAGTCGAGATATGAACTTTATGAACTCGACTAACAGTTCTCTCTCTTTCCCAATAGCTATGATTCTGAAGATGGTGCTGTACTTCGCAATATCGACGCCTGCAGAGCGATTGCGTCCACCGTTCAGACCTCGCTTGGCCCCTATGGCCGCAACAAGATTGTTATCAACCATTTGCAAAAGATGATTCTTACCTCTGACGCTGCGACCATCCTACGCGAACTCGACGTTGTCCACCCCGCTGCCAAACTCCTCGTTATGGCTAGTCAGCAACAAGAAGCCGAGATGGGCGATGCTACCAACCTCGTCATTGTCCTCGCTGGCGAGCTGCTTCGAAAGGCAGAGGATCTGCTGCGCATGGGTCTCAAAACATCAGACATTGTCATCGGCTACGAAAAGGCACAGAAGTTTGCTCTTGAGACCCTTGAAGAGCTTACTGTTGACAAAGTGGAGGATATGCGGGATCAGGAGGAGCTGAGCAAGGCTATCAGCACTGTTATTGCCAGCAAGCAAAACGGAAACGAGACATTCCTTGCCGACCTTGTTGCCGAGGCTGTCCTTAGTGTTCTCCCCAAGAACCCCGCCAACTTCAACGTCGACAACATCCGCGTTGTCAAGATCATGGGTGGAAGCCTTGAGCAGAGCAGGGTCGTTAAGGGCATGGTCTTCCCTAAGGAGCCTGACGGTTCGGTCAAAAAGGCCAGCCGTGCCAAGGTTGGTGTCTTCACCTGTCCGATCGACGCTGGGCAAACTGAGACCAAGGGTACTGTTCTTCTGCACAACGCCAAAGAGATGATGGATTTCACAAAGGGTGAGGAGTCTCAACTTGAGACTTCCATCAAGGAACTCTACGACTCTGGACTCCGTGTTGTTGTTTGTGGCGAACGTGTCGGCGATTTGGCGATGCACTACCTGAACCGATTCGGAATTTTGTGCATCCGAATTCTCAGCAAGTTCGAACTTCGAAGAGTCTGCCGTGTTGTCGGTGCCACCCCTTTGGCACGGTTAGGAGCCCCTATGCCCGACGAGATGGGAAGCATCGATGTTGTTGAGACCCTCGAGATCGGTGGTGACCGAGTTACAGTCTTCCGCCAGGAGGATGAGGTTACTCGAACCGCCACCCTTGTCCTTCGAGGAGCTACCCAGAACCACCTTGATGATATTGAGCGCGCTGTCGACGATGGTGTCAATGTCGTCAAAGCCATTACCCGCGACCCCCGATTGGTTCCTGGTGCTGGTGCTACAGAAGTCGAGCTGGTCGAAAGGATACAAGCTCACGGCGAGAAGACTCCCGGACTTAGCCAGTATGCCATCAAGAAGTATGGTGAGGCGTTTGAGGTGGTGCCTCGCACTATCGCTGAGAGTGCTGGACTCGACGCCACTGAGGTTCTGAGCCGGCTTTACGCTGCGCATGCCAACAGTGACGCTTGGGATATTGGCGTTGATATTGAGGTTCGTTTTGATCCCACCCATGCTGAGACCGTCTCTAATCCAGACCACAGAACGACGATAACACTGGTACTATCGATGCCAAGGATGAGGGTATTCTGGATCTTCTCATCTCCAAGCAATGGGCTATCAAACTTGCCACGGAAGCCGCCCGCACCGTTCTGTCTGTTGACCAGATCATCGTGGCACGACAAGCTGGAGGACCAAAGCCTCCAGGACCCAACCCTGTATGTTTCTTTCCTCATTTCTATAAGAAGCTTCAACTAATCAAAATCCACAGAACTGGGACGAGGACTAAATGGATAAAACTAAAAAGTTCAAAGTGGGCAATGGATGTGATATGTGAGATAATCACCTGGTGTCATGGTTGGTTAGATATCCTCTCAGATAAAGGAGTCAAAGCATGTACACATGTTTATCACGCTTGCCCAGTAGCCTCTTGTAAATTCTACTGTGCCCTCTACTTATATCATCCAGTTCTGTCATGGTTGCTACCACAATTGTGGACTTAAGAGTTCAATAGCCAATGCAGATGCTGTGACAATGCTATTTCAGATAGGGAGTGTCATTTATTAAAGGGAGTGACTTCTGCCTTCGTTCATTGTCGAAAGCATCCCGACAGGTCGTTTATAAACCAGCTCAGAATGTCACTTCTTATCGACGGTCACGACAGCAAGATACCAGGTTGAGTATTTTCATGCATTAACTTCGTCAAGTTCCTTCCCACGTGCAACTATTTATATGCGCAGAATAATCCAATAACGCATGTATATGCCAAAAACGCAGTATATGAAAGGCAGTAAAAGGCTAACCACGATAAGACAGAAGCATAACAGGCTGTTTTCCAACATACTCCACAGGTAAATGAGAACCATGGAACATCATCAAGGCGATATTGCAGGACACATGTAAAGCTGTATTTGCTCGATTGCAGTGAGTCAAAAGGTCTATTAATGCAAGATAATGAAGCAGGTATATATACTACGCGTATAAGGTCGAATGTGCGCCAGATAATTGGTAGATTCCAGGGGTATCGAACAATTCCAGAGGTAAGCCGGAAGAGATAATGCA